TATTCTTTTGTCCACAGGGTAAGCTAAAGTATCATAGAACATTCTAAATTACATCTACTTTGATTTCACTGTCTGCATAGAGTAAAGACAACTTACATTAGATTGCTCTAACTGTGCTTCTAATGTCTCTATATCTCCAAGGGCTGGCTCCTCTGCCTGGAGGAAAACATCAACTTCTGACATCCATGAGCACAGTCCAGACACTTCATCGTTGTATTGCTTCTCCTTCTCAATCACTGTGAATGTGTTATACATTAAATTAGCTTGGCTGTTCAACTGATTTCTTTATCTCTTATACACCTCAAATTTGCATTATAGAAAAATAATCCATAAAAGCTGAGCTTGCAAACTGCAGGCTGATTAGATAATACATTTCTGTGTTTCACAGACATATATATGAACTAAAACATTATGCTGGCAGAGATTGCAGACCTTTTTCAATAGCCTTGATGCGTGACTGGAGTGCTTCAGTTGTCGTCTCCCACTGTTTATTCAGCTTTGTAAAGTCATCTGAGATCCCTAACTGACCTTCTTTAATAAGGGCAGTGCATGCATCATTTATGTGTTTCATGTTGCCCTGTTCCATTTCAACTTTTTGTGACAAGTCCTGTAAAGTAGAGAATGGATGATATTACCACAAGAGATTTAACCAACATTCACTTCCTGAAGAAAATATATAACTTCATATGCACTGAAGTACTGTGTATTTTTTCTTTCTCTGAACTTATGGAATAAATGCATCTTATCCTAGGCAATTCCAAGCTAGTAATAACCATCTCATAAAATTAGATTTATGTGAGATTAGGTATGGATTAATAAGAAGAAACAGATGGAATTAAGGCATTGGGAAGTAAAATGAGGAAATGTAAGAAATAAAGAGGAAAAGATATAAAGTCACATAATAACAATAAACAATAAAAAAAATGTTCACACAGAAAGAGTCTGATTCTTTACTTTACCTGAAACTTCAATAGCATATCCTGCATCTGAGGTAAACTGGACACAACATGTTCAGCAGCAAGGGCAGTTTCAAGACTTTCCAGCCATTTCCTAGAAGCTTCCATAGCCTTAACAAGTGATTCTGGTGGGGCAGTCTGAACAGTTTCAACAACCATTGGTGATGGAGAAACTTGTCCAAGTCTTTCTTTAAGAGTTACATTCCACTCAATGAGCCTGTTGGAAAGAGAAGTAAAAATGAGAAATAATTTCATGGATGTTATCTAAACATTCTCAGTGATTACCAAGTCTCTGAAAGTAGTAGCTAGATTAGAATACTTAGAACTGAAAATGCATGTTGCCATTTTTTTAATTAATTATCAATTAATGTGATAGAGGAATAAAAGGGCAATCAGGATTTGTAATTATTCTTTATTCTTTATAATTTGTAAACTTTGTATTCTGAGAAAATTACAATGCCATAATGGTACTAAACAGAAAATCATACAGAAGAAACACAGACATTCTAAGAAAGTCGTACCTTGTCTTAAGAGCTTCCCACTTGGTAATAAAAATCTGAACTTGTTCCATCACTGGTTGGGTCTCCTGTGCAAACTTGCCATCCAGACCTTCACATGCTACCTTTAGAGCACCAATCTCTGCTTCATGACTCTCCATGGCTGCAATCTTACTCTGCAGGGTAAAAAAGTAAATAAAAGATCAGTCAATATTAGAAGTCATACCTTTAACAGTCATTCACAGTAGTCAAGAGTATCTGGACAAAAAGATTAATAAAACTAAATAAGCAACAAAATGAAATGTCAAAAAGGTATGAATGAGAATGGATATATCCACAATGCAAAAGATGTATTCAACCAGTTTCATTTATATCTGAAACCACTCAAATATGTCTTTTGCACCATTAATCATTCATCCTCATTCATATCTTTTCTACAAAGCAACAGAATCTTCTACTCCATATATACCTTTACTGGATCTTTAATGGATAACAATCACAATCTCAGAACAGAAATATCAAATTCCCTCACTCAGAAGCATAATTCCTTAATTATCTTCTTTGGTAACATTAAGTTATCTACAAAAATAATTCATGCATAGAAAAAACAAATGACCTGCATTGACAGCACTAACCTGACACTGCTCAATCTGAAGAGAGACAGCATTAGGCTCATTCTCGCTTACTGTGCGGACATCTTCACACCATCTGAGGAATCCCTCATATTGTACTTCAAGGTCACTGAGTTGTGTTGTTACTTTCTTCTTCTCTGTCAAGAAGGTTATGCGAGTTCTGGAAATAGGAAAAAATCGGTGATGGTTTCATAATACAAAAAAGTTTTAGGGTTTTAAAAGGGCCATTAATACTTTTCAACCTGTGGTACAATTTTCCTTATTCATACATTATTGGTCTTCAAAATCCAAGTACAACTACTTATAAAAAGATGTGGATTATACAAATAAAAGTACGAGTAGTATCCATATATATAAAAGTTTATAGTTCATAGTTAAAAGCATAGAAGGATGATCATTTACAGGATGATATTAC